CACACGCACAAGCCCCTGCTCCTTTCTTCTTATTGCTTCTCTTTGAGCAAGCCTTATTGGTTTTTCCCAGCCCCCAGCATATTTCTTGCAGCCTTTTCCCATAAACTTCGTATAGATCTGCTGGATTGCCTTCAGCAGGCAGTGCTGCACAGAGCTTTTTAGCAGGCCACAGTCATGGGAGGGGGGAAATCAAAGCTGAGAGACAGGAAAAGCCAGCTAGTACATCTCCCTTGCTAGAAAGAACCATTTCCCTAATTTTTTTTTTCTAAGGCAGCCTGCTGTTGCTAAAGCATTTCCACTTTGAAGTTGGGAACAACCGTGGCGAACTATACTGCTATCACTGCTACCTTGCCGGCCCAGAGACACGGTGTTCGGAGACATAACAGTGGAGCAGTGCCAGACACAATGTTACTGGGACAGCTACAGAGAGGCAGACACACGCATCAGGGAGCACACAAACCCCAGCGTTTGAGTCACCGGAGCTGTGCCGCAGGAACAATCCAGCCCTGCTCCCAGTGGTAGAGATTGCATCCTCTCTCACCATCCCTTCCCTGCTATATCTGGACTTTTCCTCCTCGCAGTAGGAGCTGCGGTTCAAGAATCAATAGGAGGCTTGGCAACACATTCTTAAATCGCTGTCATTATGGGCTGGGGCAGCAGCTGGGTTACACCATCCCTTAAAGGGAGAAAGGCCCCTCTAGAGCTAACCCACAGACGGGCTCTCTGTCACAGCCCACGTTTCCTCAGCAAGAAACATTCCAGAGGTGTTTCCACTACCATTTGTGCTCCCTCCTTTTAAAAAACGCAGGTAGAATGCTGCATGGGGAGATGGTATGATGGATCGGGGGGAGGGGGGAAAGAAGTAATTTTCTTTAAGGATGGGGGGAAAAGTGACCTACATTAGGTTAAACAAATAGGAAAGTACCGAGTGCTCGCAGTGGGCTTGCTTTCTTTAGGCCGCGGGGAAAGCCCAGCTCTGCACTGGGGCGCAGCACTGCAGCCCGGCCACCCCTCGCCCCCACCTGCCCCCGGTTCGGTGCGGCTCTGCTGTGAGTCAGCAGCTCGCCACGCGGTGCCCCAAGGCTGCCTTTCCAAAGAAAAGAAAAAAAAAAAGAACAAAAAACCCCTAAAAAAGAACACCCACACCTCTTTCCACGCGTCCGGAGGGAGCAACCGCCGATCGGTCGCCTTGTAAAGCGTGAAGAATAACCGCATTGCCAGCGGGCGGGCGGGCAACCCTTCGCTGGAGCGTTAAAAGAAAGTAGAAAGGCAGGGTGGTGCCCGGCTGGCCGCACGGAGCCCCGTTCCGTTCCGTGTCCCCGCAGTCCCCACCCGGGGCCCCGGAGCAGCAGCAGCAGCAGCGGCGGCGGCGGCGCACGTGGCGCGGCGGTGGCGGCCGCCCGTCCCCGGGGCCTCCTGCGTGCACCCGAGCCCCGCTCCCCGTTCTCCCCGCACCTTGCCGCTGGCCGTGCCGCCGCTGACCCCGATGAGGAAAGGCTCGCCGCCGCTGGGCTGCCCCTGTTCCTCCAGCCGCTGCTCGCTGTCCCCCGCCATCCTCCCCTGCTAGCGCCGCGCCGCCTCCGCTCTCCTGGCGGGGCTGGATTTATCTGATGAGTCAAGGGCCTTCCTCCCCGCCTGGTTCACATCCCCGCCGCTGCGGCTCCCTGCCAGGTGCCTGCTGCAGCTGCACATGCTCCGGCACCCGGCCGCGCAGCCCCGCGCCTCCCCCCCTCCAACCCCGGGGACAAAGGCGAGGCGGCTGCTACCCCCCGGCCGCGCTCCCCCCGGTGCGCCCCGGGCCTTTCTGCGGCAACCCCGCGCTCCTCGCCCTGCTTCTGCTGCCCCGGCGCCTCGAGTCTGCCCGTCCAGATGCTTCTGGTTGCAGTGGGCAAACGGGAGCAGTCCCCGAGGAGGCCGGGACGCAATGGAGCTTGGCAAACCGTATCAAGTGTAGGATGCGAGTCCGAAAGGGTGAGCTCCGTGTGCTGCGCTTAGGAACGTGTAACACTGGCTGGATGGCTGGTAAAGATTTATGCCCTGGCGATGCTGCCCAGGTCTATCTGTGCCCCGTCCCTGCAGGTATCCAAGGGCGGGTTGGATGGGGCCCTTGGGCAGCCTGAGCTGGTGGCAGCCAGCCCACGGCAGGGAAAGATGAGGCCAGACAGAAGGATGGAACCTCAGAGAACGGTCAGAGGTTTGGCTTTACAGAAAGGACCATGGGAGCTGTGTGTGTTGGTCTGGGGATGAGATGGGTGAGGGGACCACTTGCAAAAGAGCATTGTGAACAGCAGGGAAAACATTTCTGCTACCCACAAGGACTGGAACAGAGCGTTTCCAGCTCAGATTGCAACAGGGACAATTCAGAGTAGATATTCAAGGGTATTTTCTAAGTAAGTGTGAGAAAGAAGTATCAGACTAGATTGTTTTGGGAAACCAGGGACTCTCCACCATCCAGGATTTAAAAAAAGCACACTGGGAAAGCTCCCATATAGAAAGTTTTTCATAGAATCACAGTATGGTTGGGTTGCAAGGGACCCCAAAACTCCCCAGCCCCACTCCTGCTGTGGGCTGGCTGCTCCCCAGCTCAGCTGCCCAGGGCCCATCCATGGCCTGGGTCACCTCTAGGGATGGGGCACCCACAGCTCTGGGCAGCCAGCACCTTACCCTTCTGTGTGAAAATTTTTCCCCTACCATCTAATCTACATTTCCCCTTTTTAGTTTAAAACCATCTCCCAGTTTTTGATAGAGCTGATCCCTCTTCGGGACACAGATGTCCTAAGTGCTGTGCTGAGATTCCTCCCCATCCTGCTCGCAGATGTGAAGTTTGTAGCTTCTTCCACTTCACTACAACACTGTGGAGATGTTTGCCAGATGGGATGCCAGCCCTCACCGCAAGGATGAGAAGGAGATCTCCAGGGAAGGTGCAGCCCTCTGTCCCTGCTCCCGATTCTCCCTGCGCAGAGCGCAGCCTGTCGCTTGGAAGCATGGCACTGTGTGGCAGTGCCAGGGCAGGAAGTGCTAAATGTGGATGGAAGCTTCCTGCGAGGACAAATTCCAGTGGGTTCCCATGGCTCCATGCCAATTTCCAAGCACCCATTGCGAGCACGCTTCCCGCACATCACCAAGAGCTGTTCCAAGCTCATCATTCCTACCCCCAGATCGATGCACATGTACCAGAATGGCAAAGCCCCTTTGGTGTGCAGTTACCTCCATGTTACTGGGTTCTCCTCCCTCACTGCTGCCAGCCTCTCTCTTGCCCTTTTTTGGGGACAGATCAGAATCTCTACTGTGCTGAGGGCATTTCAGACCACGGGTGCTCTGCAGGATGCCTATTGTGGCATCGCATCATCATTCCCCTTGTGGCAGGGTGCACTTGTAGAAGGTAAAATAAGTAAAAAACTTGTGATGGGGTGCAAGTGGGTGATATTGAAGGCTCCAATATACAGAACAAAAAGAGGACATGCAAAAATCAGATTAAGGTTCTTCAGAAATAGGTTAGAGCAGTAAAGTAGAAGTGAATCAGATCCAAGTCTCAGTTAACTTCACAGCAGCTTTTATAGGAAAGCACCCGAGAAGATTACATTGCTCTTCCTGAGCAGTGCCAGTCAGTGACAGCCTGCAAAACTATCCAATCTTCTGTTTGGTTTCAGCTTGGAGACTTCAGTACACAAAGTCTGTTTGTGTCTTCTTCCAGCATGGATATGAGGGTTACCTGCAGAAACGCCACCTCTGCTGCATCCAGAATGTTTATAGGTTGGATGGGCCCTTAGCTTGTACATCCAGAGCCATGTATTAGGAAAACATTTTTCATTTGCTTACATCCCAGGCTCGTTAGATGAAATCAAACTTCTCCCAGCTCCTCATCTGTCCTTCACCCACATATTAGTGTCACTCACGGTGCTCTGATGGGTCTCACTGAGCAGGAAGCTGTAGTGACACCAGAGCCACCACAGACACCTGCACACGTGTGGCTTTAGTGTCGCTTTGCTTGTAGATGTCATCAGGCTGCAGAGAGTTTGTTTGCTGCCCGATCTCACATCCTTCATTTATCACTTTGTTGCTTCCACTGAACTACCACTTTGCCACTATCTTTCTGGGAAGTATTTAACTTGTGGGCAATGGCAGAGCTTTTTACCTCCCTTATTTTATATTTCACTTCATGCACGTAACCCCACGGGGCACTGATTACTGCTGGCAAACCCAGTGTTACACAAGGAGACACGGACCTGCCGCTCCCTACTTCCTTGTCAGCTTTCCAGGTCTCCTCATCCTAGCATAGCCTGTGGATTTGGTCTCCTTCTGTCACTACAAGTGTAGCCCCAATAAAAGTCAGTTAGCCTGCTGGATCCTTACCATCACTTCTCCATCCGGTTAGTGGTCCGAGCCTCATCCCACCTGCAAATACTGCACACAGGCTCTGAAATGCAAGGCTCCATCAGCAGATACTGCACACAGGCTCTGAAATGCAAGGCTCCATCTGCAGACACTGCACATAGGCTCTGAAATGCAAGGCTCCATCTGCAGACACTGCACACAGGCTCTGAAATGCAAGGCTCCATCTGCAGACACTGCACACAGGCACTGAAATGCAAGGCCTGCTTCCTTTCTCCCAGCCCTGTGGCTCCAGCACTTGGGATTCAAGGTGCACAAAGGCCATCCCAACAATGAGCCGACAACAGATTATTGGGAAGTATTATATTATGTTATATATACTTTATTCTGCCACAGACTGGCAGAACTCCAGAGCCCGCAGCAGACAACCAGACCAACTCCACTCCCCAGCACCACAACGCTGCGGCAATGCCCACTCCTCTATCCCAACAGCCAGGGGTGGGGCCCCGCCCACATTGACAGCCGGCTCCTCCATTCAGAGAAGGGCCTGCTCTCGCTTTCCCCGCCCCTTCACTTCCTGCCGCCCTTCTCCCAACGCCGAGCTGATTGGCTAGCGTCAGCAAGCCGGAAGTGCGGGGCTTACACTTTCGCTTCCGGCCGTTGCTAGGCGACGCGGTCTTCAGTAGCTTCCGGGTAACAGGGCCTGCTTCCGGGAGCGCGGCGGTGGGGCCGGTGGCACCATGAGCACCATGTTCGCCGATACCCTTCTCATCGTATTCATTTCCGTCTGTACCGCGCTGTTGGCTGAGGGTGAGTGCTGTCCAGCACCGGACGCGCTGCGGTGAGGCCTACCTCGGCTGGGCCCTGCGCAGGAGTAGGCCGCGGAGCCGGGCCTGGCCTGCTGGTGCCGTTCAGGATGGACTGGGGGTGGTTGTCAGGGAGCTGCCTGCCCTTCCCCCTGACTCTGAGCGTGGGGAGGGAGGAAGGATTGGCAGAATGGGGTTTGTTTGGAGGAGATGTGGAGGAAGGGAAAGCAGAAGAGGGACGGGTGAAAGAGGGATCGCTTAGTCAGAGCCACTCAGGACTGGTGATGGTACAGGTGGGCTTTGGGACTCCAGGGGGTGGCGGTGGGTAACACCTGAATAAAACTGGCAGTGCATAGTGGAGGGAATGGGCCTTTTATTTTAGAAGGAAGGAGATAATAACAAATTTCAGTCTGTTGCTCTAAATAAAGAGGATATTGGTGTCTTGCAGTTGGACTTGATGGTCTCAAAGGTCTTTTCTAACCTGAGTGATTATATGGTTCTTTTTTGTAGCTGTTATGAAACAGATACAAAGAAATCGACTGAACTTGCAATGAGGAAGACCTAAGTCTGCATTTGGGGTTGTTAAATGTCAGGGTGAAAAAACAGGCACAGATTGTTAAGGTCTGGTTGAATGAATGCTTTTTGAGGCATTCCAAATCAGATGCTGCTCCCTTTCCCTGGGACTGAGCTATACTCCTGTATGGGAACTGCTGAGTCACGGCCTGAACCTCTGATCGCTCACCTGAGGCAAGCAATGAGTCAGCCAGGGGAGCACAGGTGAAGGCAATTTACCTGTGCTGCTGGAAGGAGGTGGAGCCTGGTTGCACCTCTTCTAGACCTATTTAAGAGCTGACTACCAGGGGGGAAGGATCTCTTCTAGAGGTCGTCTCTACTGGTGTTTTGTGGGTGAGCCCAAGATAAGGGTAAGCCTTCTATTTATTCTTTTTTGTTATCATAGTCTATTTTGCCTAACTCTCTTGTTTATTTTCTTATTATAACATCCTAATATTCTTTGATTATTTTCTTATTATAACATCCTAATATTCTTTGATTATACAACTCCAAAATCATAGAATCACAGAATCACCAAGGTTGGAAAAGAACTTCAAGATCACCCAGTCCAACCATCCACCTGCCACCAACAGTACTCACTAAACCACATCCCTCAGCACAAAATCCAAACATTCCTTGAACACCTCCAGGGTGGCTGACTCCACCACCTCCCTGTGCAGCCCATTCCAGTGCCTGACCACTCTTTCAAAAAAGTAGTATTTCCTAACGTCCAGCCTAAATCTCTTCGTGTCCTAGGGCTTCAAAACCTTATTTCTGGGGAAATTCAGAAGGGAATTCCGTGCTGAATATGGCATTTGCTTTCCAGGAGTCCTGTATTGCGTTGGGCTCAGCTGGTGTTCACCTCATTGTCTTTTTCAGGAGAGAGCAATGTGACTTTCTAAAGTGTCCATATGGCTCCTTTCTCTGCAGCTGGTGATCCCAGGGACTCAGTAGCACAGCACTGTTGTCAAACCAAAGCCCCTCCTCCACCTTCTTCCCCCCCCCCCCCCCCAAAAAAAAAGGGGGACCAAGAGCCTTACGTAAGAGCTCAGTTTAAGCAGTTCAGAAACCTCTGAACACTCAGCGCTTGTGGCATGACTGGTTTGATCATGATTTGTGGTATTATATTTGTTGTATTTGTTGTATTATAAGGTGGTTTTGTAGACACAATGTATTTTCTGCGCATACGTTTGCAAACTCGTATCTTAATTTATCACAAGAGATCTTTACTTACTCAGATACGTGCTGGTTATTTGCTTCAGGTATAACCTGGGTGCTGGTATACCGAACAGACAAATACAAGAGATTAAAGGCTGAAGTGGAAAAACAGAGCAAAAAATGTAAGTATTTTTCAGATATTAGAGAGAATGCTGTTCTTCTTGTAGCTTGCTTTGGCAAATGTAAAAATGAACAGAGTTTGTGCTCTGAGATATTTCTGCAGCATTTTCTTCTAAGGGAGAGAAAGGATCTGAATTTTACAGGTGTAGTGGAAATGCTAAGTCACAGCCTGGAGCAGTGATTGAACACCTGGTGGGAAGGCAGGGCCAAGCCAGGGGAGCTCAGGTGTGCGCAGTGAACCTGAGTGATGGAAGGGCTGGAGCCAGGATCCACCCCTTCCCAGCCCTCATTTAAGGGTTGGCAGTGGAGGTGGGGGCATCTTTTGCTGGAGATCCCTGCCTAGCTGAGGTAAGCAGCTCTTCTTCGTTTTTGCATCTGTGGCTGCTGCGTTTGGCCTTTGCTGTAGACAAAGACTTTGCCACCCTGCTATTATCATTCCATTATAGCATTACAATAAATTACCTAAACTGGTATGGAAAGGGCTTATCTCTGTTCTTAATTTTTGTCTTTTTGTGAATTGAGACTGGTAGAAAGGCTTCAATTTTATGCCATCCACTCTGCTTTTCTTGGAAGATGGGAGGGAGATCAGTACTGGAGTCAGCTTCTGAGCATGAGTGGCTTGTGTGTATATATTTGTATTCCTTTAGATCTCCGAAGTTAATTCAGGGATGTAGTTTCTGTTTTTCAAGGAGGATGAAGGATTTGAGATATGTAGTAAGAATAGTTTGAAAGAATACCCTGAGAGGTAAAGCATAATACCTAAAAAGTGATGATTAAGCATGGGAAATGGGTAAGGATAGAGTTATGATAGAAGAATCCAAGCTGTCAGCTGATACGAAAATATACTGTTATAAACTGGAAACAAAAATAAAACTGGATAGAAGAAAACTGTCCCAGGTAACTTCAAGAGGTCTGGGAAGGATTAGACAAGGTTTGATTAGAGAAGAGTTGGAGAAGGGAGCAGAGAGCGAGCAGTCAGAAGATACGTGTCAGATGTTAAAGTAAGAAGTTGAGAAGGTATGTTTGTGTATGGAGTGTTTCAATGGACCTGTCTGTATCAGACACCAAGGAGCAGAGGAGAAATGGAGCTACGTGTTCAAACTCAATTGTGTATTCTCTGTGCAGCTTCCAGCAGTAAGAGACTGCGTGGTGAGGTGGGGGTGAACCTGAGCTGTTGTTAACCTTCACATTTTTTTCACCATGATATCAGTGCTTCTGGAAAGCAAGAGAAAATATTGTTATTAAACTATGTTCTTTCCAGTCTAGCCTTCCTATGGGCAAGATGAGCTGGAAAGTGAAAGTTAGTCATCCTTGTGTCTCGGCTCCTAAATGTAGGGGCTTTTGTCATTTTGGCAGTGTCAGTTGGGGATTGCATCTGTGCCCACCCCACTCCAATCCTGTTTGGCTGATAAAGATGAGTTGGGCAGAATTAGCCACAGAAGGCAAGTTTTAGAAGTAATTGAAACCCGGCTGAAAACTGAAGAGTAGAACACAAAGGCTGTTAGCTTGGCTTAATCTCTGCAGTATAATGATTTCTGTAAGGTTTTAGTGCAGTTTTTTAATAGCTGTCCTGATATCGAGGTTATAATCTGTGAAGGGAAAGTTCATGCATCTCAGTTAGTTTCCACTCTCCTTGTTTGATGCTCCCTCTATTCTCCTAAATCACCAGCCACCCTCCCCCCTAAAAAAGAACAGCATAATGAGGAGTTACTAACATTTAAGGCTTGATCTGTTTTCCTCCTGTGCTGAGGACAGCTGGCTGACCTGATGGCTTACAGGCAATTTGTAGAGCTCTTGAGCCACACCTTTCAACTGTTGTCCAACACATCTGAAACAGGAAAAAACACATGAGAGATCTTTAAGTTCTCCTGTGGGAGTACTAGCAATCCTAACAGTTTGCCAAAACAAATGGGCTGAGTAGTTTGCTTAAGCAGCACTATTACTTGTAATCCTTAGTTTCATCTCTTCCAATTCTCTTGTTTCTGTTGAGAGACACGGCATTATTGGAGACTGATGAAGAAATGATAGCAGGTGTCCTGGGATAAATGTAGCAGTAAATTTGCAGTAAGTGTTTCTGGTCTGCAGGGTATGGATGGAAGTGTTATCCGTATTCCTGCAGACAGCCTTGTGAGGCTGCCTGACAGTTATTTGTCCTGTGCGAGCCATAAGGGAAGGTAGGCTGTAGGGCCCGTCAGGGCTGACGTGAGGTCCAATAGCACTACTTGGAGCAAAGCTGGGATCTGGAGATGCCCCTTGGTTACAGCTGAAAAGAGCAGATAGCCCTGAAAAGCCAGTGTTTGCCAGACTGGGATTATGTAGGCTAGGGTTGGGTTGGGCTGATTGGGGTATCCCAGCAGGAGCAAGATGCTCTTTGTGAGCACAGATGTATGGTTGTCTGGCACCTCTCTCCAAGCATTCCCTCTGAACAGGCTTGCCTGGCTTGTGCCCTTCTATCTTGCTCATTCCAGATGTGCTTATTCTTTGGAAAAGCAGCTGTCTTACAACAGATGTTGTAGATGCTATGTGACACCTTGTTTAGGCTAGTGTGGATTTCCTGGCAGTTGTATGTGGCTGAATTGCAGATTACAAGCACTTCAGAAGCCAGCACAGCACACCTTTTTATAACTTGGAAGGCTGTTTTCATTTTACCTGAGCTTTAAAATCCACACTAGAGTATGTCTGTGGTGTCCCTGTTCATTGCAGGGGAGTTGGACCAGGTGGCCCTCAGTAGTCCCTCCCAGCTCTAAGGATTCTATGATTAAACATCCGTGCTGAGCTGGTACTGATGTGAGAGCAGAGTTCTGGTGCTCAGCTCTTTAAAGCTGATTGTGTGAGTTTACAGGAGTCAAGTCTGCTTGGTGGAAAATACAGTAGACATATGTATTTAGGGTAAGAAAGGACTGTTGTGTGCTTTATCATCCTCACTTCTAGTGCTCTTGTGGTAGGTCTTACCTCAAGACCAGTCTCTTTTTGGAAAAGCTGCTCTGGCTGTTTCCAGAAGAGCACTTTCAGATGAGCAGCACACTCTCTATATTAGAAGTTTGCTATGCTGCTCTTATGTTAGGTTTGTTCTTTTTTTAATGCAGTGTTGGTTGTTTGGATTTGTTTGGTGAGCGTCTGACTTGGGGTTTTATTAACTGTGAGCTTCGGCTCTTGCTTTAGAGGACTGGAACTGCTTCAGTACTAATTGAAAAGGAATGGGGATGCTCTGGCTGACTGCTTGGATGGCGTTTCCCCTGAGAATTACACCCCTTCTTCACAGGCAGGCAGAGAACACAAGCTTTCCTGTGTTCTGCTTCCCACTGCAGATAATCGGGTGCAGAGCTTGCCACAAAGCTCTTTTCATTAGACTTGCTGAATCAAAAGTACTGTCTACTACTAATGACAAATCAGCAGTGGTCATTTGAGCTAAAATTGTCCTCGGGCTGCTTGGTTAACAATGTGTTCTCAACAGAGTTTAAAATTGACTCTTTGAAACATTCCTATATCTCATCCAAGCTTTGGGAAAGATTTTTGGATTTTCAATGTTCAGTTTGCATCTGGTCAGCCTGGAGTGGTTAATAACTTGTTAGTTCTGAACGTGTTCATAGTTATAACTTCCTTTTGTGCCTTTGTTGTCTAAAGGGAATAAAATTGTTTTCTTGTGTGGAAGGAGGGGGGTCAGTGTCTGTGCACAAGTGATGGAATATCTTTCTTTGCATTTTGCAGTGGAAAAGAAGAAAGAAACGATAACCGAATCAGCAGGCCGACAGCAGAAAAAGAAAATAGGTAAGGTTAGGAGGGGAGTGCAGTGCCCTAGGAACATGGAGAAAGTGACCTTCCCTCCTTTTGAAGCACTACTGGAGCTGGTTCTTAGCATGGCAGCCAGCTCGTGAACCACGATGCCTTCTTCCTCCAGAGCAGGAGGCAGATGTCCTCTGGGTGGTTCCAACGAAATTTGGAGGAGTGCAGCCTCACCAAGAGGTGATCAACAGTCGTGGATGTGACTTATTAATTTCAGTTGCCAGAGTTCTTTGCTGCAGTGTGCTGACAGCCTGTGGGAGCTCTGACTGCGATTTTTAGGTCTTTCATTTTTGAGCACTTCAGAGCTGAAGATATTTGTGAGTTGACTCTGTGCTTACATTTATTTAAAATTTGATAAACCAGTATCTAGAATTGAGCAATGTGATCTTTTTTCCCGTTCTGTTTTTCATTGTCAATACAGTTTTACTTGTTAAAGTAACTCTTTAAACAGTGGATTGTGCAAGAATAACGTGGTAGATGTTTAATGTGTCTGAGATTCAGAAGGTTCTCTTATCTTCAGGTCTCTAAAGTAAAATGTACAGTAAAGCCTGGTTAAATTATTGCAGAAATCATAGCAAGAACACTTCTGAGAGCTCCTGGGAGTTGGTTTCCTTGTTCCTCTGTAACACTAGGTAGCTGAATTGCTCATTTGATCTGTTCAAAGCTCCAGAGTAATTATAAACACATCTTCAAACAGTTCTTCCTAGGTATGAAACCTGTTATTACTACACTTCTGAAAGGAGAGGAGCCCAAATTCTCCCTCTGTTCTTCCTATTTCTAGCTTTTAGTCTTAAGTAACCCATATATGGGATAAATAAAATGACTGGATGAGGCAATTTTGATTTTAGGTAGCTGTTGTTACTTATGGTCACTTCTCAACATGTCAGTGACTTTGCAGGGTGCTATCCAAGCTGTGTTTCTAGCAGAGAATATTTTACTTGTGCTTGGACTAAACTAACAAACAGTAGAATCTGAGGAATCAGGTGCTGCACTGTTTTGTTTTCTTTTTTCAATATGCTGAAATAATCTTGTTTTGCAAATGAAAACAAAGCACAAAGGGATTAAGAACAAAACTTAGGAAGTGACCACTGATTTTGTTTGCTGTGTTGCTTGCTGGCCAAGCTTAAGATACTGAGTGTTGGGTTGGTTGGGTTTTGTTTTGCAAGTGCTGCATAAGTCGTTTGCTTTCGGGCAAAGCTGCATTCTTAGTGTTTCTGAAAAATCAGGCCTACATGCCCATCTGGGCACCCAGAAAATGACTCATAGCCATTGAAAACTGATGTCAGTGGCTGAGTTATGCAGATTGTAGCGTTGCTGTGACAGTCAGATGACTTCTGCTGGGGTTACTTTGAGTTCTAAAATTCCAGATAATAAAAAAAAACAAGAGGTGCCTTCTCAAGATAGTCACAGCTGTGGTGCAGGCCTGCCTCAGTTGTTGTTTGTCTTGTGCACAGGGCAAGGCAGGAGGTGTGTGTACAACCTTGCCTGGTCCCATAACAGATGAATCATGCGCGTGTGCACGGAGGGAGGACGAAAGTTGCATGGCCAAGCTTAATTTGGTGTTTCCTACTTAACAATTTCTATTAATTGTAGAGAGAGCTGATTTTACTCATAGTGTCTAAATCACTTTTTATGTTTCTGGAGCAGCACACTTCCAATACCACAATGTAGCTTCTGCCACTTCAACTGGAAGAGTGTGTTGGCTCATTTGTAACTTTGCGCTGGCTTTGTGCACCTAGAAAAAGAGACTGGCGTTCCCAGTAGTCCACATAAACCAGTGCTGGCAGATAAGGTTTTTTGTTGTGTCCTCATGGTTCCTGTTCCAATGAGCAGAATTTGAAGAGCTGGTACTGCAAGATGCTCCTCGTTAACCCAGTCTTTTTCCTCTTTATTCTTACCTGCTGTGTAGCAAGCTACTTAAATGCTGTTGATGTATGCCTTGGGTGGCTATAAACCATTTCTATAGAGTGGTAGGACACCTGGAGCATATTTGTTTTGAATCTGTAGAAATAAGAAACAGGTCAGGCACGGTGGGGATCTGGGCTGTGTTCTTCATTGCTGTGTAACCTTTAGTCCATCTATTTAGATGGTTAGTTATGTAGGTGAGGGGAAAAAACAAGTATTTGTGCCAAATGTGATTCCTGAAGATCTGGCCTAGTTGCTGATGTGTCTGAAAACAAAACTCTCCACCTAGGTCAGGAAACAGGTGTGTGGAAAGTTCCTGCCTTCGGGAATGGTTTGCAGTTATAAGCAATAGAAAACAGCAAGGATGATTGTAAGAAATTGGGTAGGGGTATTTCTCTTGCTTTGTGACCACACTGATTGCAAATCTCTATGTTTATCAGCTTTTATTCAGGGCTTGAAAGATAACCCTCTGAGTTTCTGTGTTGTGGGCTCCTTGTACTGAAACTTCAGCAGAGATCTGCTGGACAATTTGCCTGTCAAAGAGCCCTTGATAGTGGCTCTGCATCCCCCTTTCTTTCTGCTTTCACATTATTCTTCATCCACATCCTTACTGCAGTTTCAAAGCCCTGGGTGCACCTCTGGATCCTCAATCTGACACCTCCAAAATAAAATCCTTGTTTATGTGGTGTGCCTGCAGCAGTGAGCACAGCTTGCAGAAGCGTGCTTTGTAGGCACTCTCTTTGTTTTCTGGCAGTGTTGCTCATGCTGCTGTGTTAGTGGATTGAGCTGGCAAATGTGACATTCTGTGCGTTTCTTCTAGAAGTGCTGAGTGTATGATTCTTCTAGTTTGCTCCTCTTTTGTGTCTGCTTTGCTGTGTGTTGTTGGGATGGAGAAGCAATTGGCTATGAGTGATTTTTCCACTTCATACTGTTTGGGATGGAAAGCTGGAGTTGATTTGGGGTGTGTTACTTGTTTGGAGAGCTAGGAAGGTTAAGTCTTCCTGGAAATGAAAATGTTCATGTTTCTAGCTTGGTGTAACTGATGATAGCTGTTGTTGTTTTCGTCCTTCTAGAGAGACAAGAGGAGAAACTGAAGAATAACAACAGAGACTTGTCAATGGTAAGAAAACTAGAGCCAGTTCCCACCTGCTGGAGATTTCACTCAGTAGTTTTCCAACAAAGTCTTCGTTCATTTGGCAGCTCTAGCAGCTCTTCCTCCTCACAGTTCTTTCTGGATTACTTCTGGTATGTCCAGATTTTAGTTTGAACTCTCCAGCAGTTACCACCTCACCTTATCCCCCTCCTTAGCCCCCTTTGTTTTTATAAGTTTCCATGATGTAGAACTTAGTTGTCTGACTTCCTCTTGCAAGTTGTTTTTTTAGAATGAACTCATACTGGTTGTGTAGGCTTACCTATGAAAGCCAACAAGACAATTTCTAAGCAATTTTTGTTCCTTTTTCCTCTCTGGAGTTGCTCTTCACAACAGTATTCCGCACTGTGGCTTTGTGCCTGGTTGTTGACTGGACTTGAATTTGAGTCACTCCCTTTGCAGTCTGTCTAGCCTTGTGTCATCATTTTCCTTCTAGATTCCAGTGATGCTGTACAAGGCCTGCTCTTGAGGCTGTGAGCCCTAACCTCTCACTGTAGTCCTGTTGTCTGTTGTTTGATTACCTCCGACCTTTCAACTTACAGGTTCGGATGAAATCCATGTTTGCCATTGGCTTCTGCTTCACTGCCTTGATGGGGATGTTTAACTCTATGTAAGTATCAGCTTTTTGTATCTTTCTTAAATGTTCATGTTGAATCTCTGTATATACTCTTCTAGGATTTTATCCAAGAACCATAACTAATCTGTAAAATGGATGAATATATCACATGAATTATGTGGTCTGGTCACAGCATGTGGTCACTCTATTCTCAACAGTGGATACTGCAAGCTGGGTGCTGTTAAATTGAATAAAATGAATGCAAACTGAACACAGCTTATGATCCTTTCTGTTTGGGAACATCTTGACCATGGTAAGTTTGGTAGATGCCAGGCATCTAGCCATGGTCTTCAGCTTATTTGGCTCTGCTATAGTGTGACTAAAGAACACTTGAAAACAAAACTGGGTCAGCTCTCCTGCCCTTAGAAATGAGCTGTAATTGCAGAGTTTGCCGTTGCCCTACTTAAGGTGATCAGAGTCAAGATATTAACAGGTCCAGGCATGGTCTCCAATCTTCTTTTGATTTTAAAAAAGCGACCTGGAGTTGGTCTAGTCAAAATCTGAAACAAAAAAAGTCTGGTTTGCATGGTTATGGAAAGCTTTCCTTCAGAGATGCAAAACTGAAGGACTGCTTGGCTTTGAGAACTTGGTTTGGTCTTGAAATGTGACAGCTAATCTTTGTTAGCTGTTAAATCTGAAGATAATGTGGTCAGTATGACTTTGAGGAGCCTGTTCAGTATCTAGGCAGCATACTTACTCTGCTGATGGGTGTTTACATTCTTGGGGTGGCAGTCCTTAGGGTACAGTCAATTGTTATTTTACTGCAGGACTGTGGGTGGATAATTGCAAGCAGGGAGTAACAGAACTGCCACTGTGTGGACTCTATTTATTCAGCTTAGTCTGACTGCAGCATCTAGCATTCTCTGGAATGCTGTGAAACTGAGCAGGGGAGCGTGGCACTAAAGTGCTTTAAAGTCTGAGTACTGTCTTGATTTGCTGTTGATTCACTTACCTGGGCTACCAAATGGATGTGTATTCCTTCTGCTCTGAGGGTTGCTGTCCATGGGCTCACGTGATGCTTCCAGGCACGTCTTGCCTTAAGCTGCCCCTTTCTTCTGAGACTGTCCTGGGAGCCAACACAGGAGCAGCTTGAGCTCTCCAGAGAGTGTTTGAATTGAAATAGCATTGTTGCTGAGCATAGGAGTTCTGATGCCACTGAATTACAATCTGGACTCTTGCCTGTCTTGCTTTTGGGGCAGATAGATTTTTTTTTTTTTTTTTTTTTAGTTGATTTTATTTTGCTTTTGGTCTCAGTGTGGGGTAGCTTAGTGCATTTGTATCTGAGAGATGGCTTTGCTGGCTTTTACCTGCACTTTCTCATGCTTGCAGAATGGTTTGAGGAAACTGGTTCCCACTCATGCATGTGCATTCTCTTGGCATGGTGTAAAGACTAGCTGTGTGGCTCAAGAGGATGCTTCAGTGATGTGAATGCAGGATGCTTTTAGGCTCCTTCTGAGAAGCTGCTGTTGCCAGCTCATTCACTGAGGCACTGTGGGTGTGGTGTGAAGAGGAAGAAAAGGATGGCTGACACCTGCAATGACCGTAGCCCAATTTGCTTGATTTCCTGTTCTTGAATGAGTTTGTTGCTCTGGGGGACAAAAGAAGCAGGAGTTGGGTGGAAGCAGTGTGGTGTTGCCACCCTTTGGACAAGTGCTGTTTGGACACTGCTGCGCTGTAGCTGGGCACCTTGCCTTTGCCAAGTCAGCCAAGCCAAAATGGACGGGATGGTGATGATTGCCTCTGTTTTGTGGCATTACTAATGGAGCAGCAGGGTAGGGCATGCAGGAAGGATTTGTTGCAGGCTGGTTTAAACCCAGAGAATGAAGTGCTGTGTGAAGATGAACAGTTGTGTGGCTTAAAAGATACTTTAGGGCTGGGAGTTCTGTTAGCAGCAGGGCCCTCCAAGCAGATGGGCTTTCTCTGGGGAGAGAATTTAGCTTCTGTGTGTCTCAATTTTCTCTTGTCAGAAGCTTCTTAATGCAATCAATTCCCTGCCTTGCTCTGAGCCGTGCATTTCAGTACCTCTTCATGCTAATTGTAAAAGCCTGCTGGAGGAAACAGCAGGTACCTGAGGGTGCTGCTGCTGGAGTACTTGTCATTCTCACAGCAGGAATAACGCAGAATTTGAAACCACTGGGGGATGTTACTGGGAGATAAGCATCCGTTCCCAGTTCTTCTGCCAAACTGCCTGTGAGATGTAAACAAAGTTGGCATGTGTTTGAGCTGTAGCTGTGTGAATGCATCTCCACAGGAAGGAAAGCTCGTTTAGGATCTCTTGAAACAAGAAACACCTGTTAGAAAATCAGCACACGCAGAGAAAATAACATCCAAATATGCACATGCCGATGAGGCATCATACGCACTTCACTTCAAAAGACTGGGACGGCTGTCTGGGCTGGGAGAAATCTTTGCAAACAGGCCAGAATTCACACTCAGCCTGATGCCCTGGAATGTGGAGCTGGAGGAGTTCCAGGAGCAGAACAGGCTGCTTGGAATAGGGGGGTATCTTCCTGCCTCTACTGCCTTTGCAGAGATAACACAGAGAAGGCTGTTGGTGTTAAGTGTGCTTTTGATGGGTATTACGTGCATCTTGTGCTGAGAATTATAGCTGTTCCAGGGAAGAAACAGATGTCTTCACTTACTCTGCTTAATAATGCTCTTTTGCTTAAGGCAGAGTCGATCTTCTTGCGGTACCTGCAGTACAGCAGCGTGGTTGTCATCCATCTTATTGAAGAATCCAGTCAGCACTGAAATAAAATGCACCAGTAAGCTGCAAAACACCAGCCGAGTTCTTATGAATCACCAGCTAGTCCAGTTGATCACTTGTGTGTCACTGTGATGTGCTTCGACCATGACAAAACAGCTATTGAGGGAAGCCCAATTACCTTTCGGATGATTGAGTGTGAGGGGGCTTTTTAAAAGGGATGTTTCAGCCTCTGACAGAACGCAGAAGGATGGGCTGGAGAAAGCAGCATGGATTTTCAGCCTTCCATGTTCTTGTCTGCTTTGGTGGCCTGCAAGCAATGTTTGCTTGTTCTTTCTGTAGCCAAGTGGTTTATGTTCCCCAGATGTGATCCAGTGCTCTTCTTTTATTCTCTTTTTCAGATTCGATGGCCGGGTGGTGGCAAAGCTTCCTTTTATCCCCCTCTCATACATCCAGGGCCTGTCCCACCGCAACCTTCTGGGTGAGGATTACACTGACTGCTCCTTCATCTTCCTCTACATCCTCTGCACAATGTCTATCAGGCAGGTGAGTACATTGCTGTCTCCACCATGTGTGGAGCAGGGAACGCACACACAGTGCAGTCTCTCCATAATTACACCAGAACACTAAGACAGGAGTAGCAGAAATGGCTGTAATTCCTGTGCGTGTCCCTAATTCACTTTGTTTATTAATATACTGAGAGACTGTTTCCATCAGAAGCCAGTACAAGTACCACTTCTTGCCCATTAGTTATGACCTTCATAGTAATAGGAGGACAGAGAAGTACAGTATCTTCAGAGGAAAATTCCTTGGTGGCTTGAGGTTTGTAAAGGTTAAATCAGTTCACAGACTTGCCAAAAATAGGTGAAAAGTTAAAGGTTTGTTTTTTCTTTTTCCTTTTTACGCTGGCCACCTGATATCCCCCTCTCCCCCCCTTTTTTTTTTTATTTTTTTTTTTCAGTCTTAAGAACTTTACCTTCAGCACTGATTCTCTTGCAGTGTTAGGGACGTGACTCAGAAGAGGGGTTTGGTGAACCAAGAGTAGGCCATATAGGTTCCCAGTAAAGCAGTTTAGTTGCATCTTCTGGAAAGAGAAGTGTCAGTAAGGATAAGAGGAAGTGTATGTTCAGGACCAGGCTCTGTTGACCAGCTAGGTGACTGGCTTGTTGTTCAGCAGCAGCATTGTGTTGAGATGAGGATGAAGACTAATCCTGCTTAACAGACAGAATGGCTGGTGAGGACGACAAAGGAGACCTCCTTGATGCAACCAGAGATTTTTGCCACTTTTTTTTTTTTCCAGTGTCCTGGGGATAAATCAGTTCTGGAGTTTGGATGAATGCTGGTGGAAGTAGCTGTGCAAATAATCAGCTCTTTTGTACTTGTTTCCTTTTTCTTTGACTTGCTTCCTGAATTCTTGCTGCTCTTCTCCTTGGCCAGCTTATTGCTTTTCCTCAGTGAGTGTCAAGGGATATAGATTCAAGAGATAGGCAGAGGGAAGTGACAAGTGCCACTGCTGTCAGAAGTTTGAGTGAGCTCGGTGAAGCATCTGGATAAAGTTCCTTTAGTCAGAAATTAAATTCAGTATTGTCTCCGTATTGAGTGTGTGTGTGTTGAAATGGATCTGTGCCTGGTCTCGTGTAAAAGCAAATAATGAATTATAAGATAATTGCAGGTTGAGAGGGTCATCTGGAAGTCATTGGGTTCACCCTTCACTCCCTGCCCCTCCTCAGAGCAGGGCCAGCTTCCAAGTCCAAGTACCAAAGGCCAGGAGTTTCCTCATGTTTTCTGCAGGACAAATCTTGTTTGACTTCCCACCAATTCAAACAGTGTATACTGCTTGGAAAGAAGTTGGACCTTTTGAGCACTTTGAGTCATCTTTGTGGTCTGTTCCTTTGGGCAATCTTATGTGGTGCTCTTCTGTTACCTTTAATGTTGAAAAGTCCCTTCTTTCCAGTGCTGCAGACTATTACTGGAACTGAAGACAGCATCTCTAAGAATTGTTTTGCACCTATTGAGTTGACTGGGGAGCTGTCTTGCAGAAAAATCCCCTGTGGATTTTTTTTGTCCAAGAATAGAATTTGTGTGATTTGTTTTAGTCCTGGGCATTTCCTGCTGTTGCCTGTTATGGAATGAGTAGACATCATAAACTAAGCAGTTGACCACTGTGGTTCTGGGGAGAAATGTCAAACTGTAGCGGAGAAATTCTGATAGCAAATTACCTCCAGTGGGAGAGTTTGCGCTGATGGTCCAGTGAGGATGGAAGTTACTTTGTTGCTTTCAAGGAAAGCGTTTTTGCTCTGGAGCATTGGATTGCAGCGTTTGTACTGCTGTCTTTATCTACGTGACTGTGATTAACTGTACCTGCAATTCTTCATCGTTAGGCAGCTCCAAGTTTCTTCTTCCTTGCTGTATGGAGGGATGGGCAGAGACCAGCTGTGTTACTTTCTGCAAAAGCTAGGAACTAAAGCTGTGATTCCTGGCATCCTGTGATTGGTTTTATTACTATTTAGAGGTACTTAGATGATAACAGCATGAGGAAGAGGACTTTGGCTGTGAGAAGCCAAGGGAGAGGGGAAGAAAGCAATTAAGGACACTCCTAATGGTGCCAAAGATTTGTTCCTGGTGCTGCGACTATAGAGGTGAAAGCTTCATGACCTGTTGTTGTTTCACTGTGTGCAAAAGGGAAAATTTCACTGGGCTGCCTTCTAAACAGCTGTTGGTCCAAGGGAGGAGAAATGATGTGTTTGATTTAATGCCACCAACGCGAGGAGGATCAGGCTGCAAAAAAGCATAAGGGAACTATACGTCCCTCAACCTTCTCCTAAATCCTAGAACTGACTGCAAGGGATCGAGATAGTGAAGGCAGCCATCCTGGTGGAGCTCCAGAGCAGAGGAGCTTCTGTGCATGTGAAAGACCAGAGATCCTGAGGGAAATGCAGGGGAGTGTGTGAGGGTGGGGAGGCTAGGTGGCTGTTGATTAAACTCCCCTGAATGGGATGAGCAGCAACAGGCAGGCTATTCATGTGGTTCTCAGGCATGAGCTCTTTAGACACTGACTGGGAAGCTTGCTGCCTGTGACCTGGCCAGCATCTCCCAAAATAGTTTACTTGCGGTGAGTAACTTCCTTTGCGCTGTTCCCAGCTCTCCCTGGCACGTAAATCCTGTCCCCCAGTTCCTCCTGCTTTCCTGTTTGGAGAGAAGAGGGTTGCTGGGAGAGGCGTTCCAAGGGTCCTTGAGCTGTTGGGTTTCAGCTGGGAAAGTCTGCTGCCGGACTGGGCGTGAGGCACAGTGTCAGGGTTACATCCTCTGTCCCCTCTCCTGTTTCTGAACTCCCGGCCTTCACCTGTGCTACGTGTGAAGGAGGCTGTGCTGCTCTTCCTCAGGCGTTTGCTGGTCTTCACTTCCTTTTCACACGTGCTTGAGCCATAGATGAGGCCTCTTCTCTCTGAAATGTGTTCCCAGAGGGAGAGGGAGCCAGCGATTATCTTTTCTGCCCCAAGTGCACTTTCCCATATGGCCTCATCTTCCCAGCCACGCGCTGATGTGTTGGAGGCCCCTTCTGGATTTCAAGATGACTGCGAGAAGAATGAGAGCTACATCTGCTTTTATCTGAGGAGCATTTATCAAAGCTCAGATGAAGAAGTTGGATCCTTATGATTTACTTTCTTCCTGTCGTGCTCCTGAAGGTGCTGGCCTTGTCTGTGTAGGAAACAGACTCTGCAGGCTTCCTTGTGCAGCGTGGTGCATAGCAGCCAGGACAGATTTCTGCTGGACCTTGCCCCAGCCCTGGTGTAGACATCAGGACTTCTGTCCAGCAGATCTCACTTTGTGGCTAATGCAGAAGCACAAATGAGACTCCTATGGTAGGATAATCGTGCAGGGTGGCTGTGTACTTGAATCCATGTACGGACAAGTTGTCTCTCCTCCTCAGAACTATTCAAGCAAATGGAGTAATTTTAGCACCACAGTTCTCTGTCCTGATACTAAGAGCAGGGTGGGAATGAGAGAGGCAGGCAGTTGATCCCACTGATGCTTGCTAGGGTCTCATTCTGTTCCATGCATGAGCCACTACAAAGCTGACAGGATTTGGGTCTTTCCTGCTTCTGACTCTGCACCACCCTCTGGTGTTACTGAATCTGTCTGTTAGCTGCTCTTGCTTTGCTCCCTCTGTCTGTCTCTTGACTGAAAGCTCCGGGAAGGTGAATTGCACAAAGGAGTTTCCCACAGTGAACTGCTCTCCTTTACTGAATGTCAACCAGTGTATAATGTAGGCCTTGGACTTAACTGTGTTAGGTGCTGCTGAAGATATTCACAGGAAACCATGCAGATGGCTGAACTGTCTTCACTTTCACGTTTACAGGTGCCAGCTGAAACCTTCCTTTCTTCACCCTAGATGACCCCTTTGAGCTACTCTGAAATTAAGCAGTCTTTTTCTTTAGTTAGTTTTCTTCTTCCATTATCAAAAATGTTTAAGAACTCAATTTGCCTTGCTGTCTGACTTGTCCTGACAGTTATTTGGGAGAAGACGCTCAGGTTTGAAGAGAGCCCTTCTTCCTCCTTTTGTTGTCTGGATAGCCAGGAGTCAGCTGATGACAGCAGCAGGCTGCAGTCTTCTTCTTTCCCTTGCACCAGATATCCCTGTTTTGTCAGCACTGCATGAGTAGCATCTTGAGCTGTAGCTAGACAGCAAAGGATGAAACCAATAGAACTGGTAACTCTGTAGTTGCAACGTTGCAATGTGTCACAAAGAAGGCAGAAAAACATTGAACTACTAGAATATTTTGTTGTGAGGTGTGTAGCTAGTGCCTGACTCTGATACTTATTGCTTTCCTTGTTGCTTTCTACTAAAACACCTTGCTCGAACACAAAAAAGCAGAGGAAGTAATTTCAGTAGTCATTTTCTTGGTTTTGCTACATGTGCTTGTTACAGTGAGTTTCCTCCAGTCCTCTGTTCTTGTCTGCATTGCTAGCGTGCATATTAATTCTGTGCTTACGTGTCTGGCTTGAATTTGGAAGTGCTTTTGTTGCCACCTTGCTGACCCAAATCCAAACTGCACTATGCAGGAGCCTTCATCGCTGGTCTGCAGGTGCTGGTGGTGCCTGAGAAACGCCTTCTAGAACTTGTGCAAACATATCTGCCTTCCTTCTGCCTACAAGCTGATGTTAGCCCCTGCTCCTGCGTCCGTGCGGCTAGATTGCATCTATTTGACTGATAAAACCAATCTGTGATCCAAATCGTTCACAGTGCATCTGCTGGCTGTGTAGCTGGAGGTAGAAAAGAGCCCTCTGCCAAAATGCAGGTTTAGTCACACAGCTTTAGTTGAGGTAGAAGAAGGAGACCCAGTGCTAAGTGTAGCCATTCAGGATGACTGTTTGCCTCCTTGCTGATGTATAGGAGCAGATCTCTGTTCTATGTTAGACTGATAAGACTCTGTGGGTGACAGTGTGAACCTTTGAAGCTGCTGAGGAGGTTGCACCTGTAAGCAGAGCTGGCATTTCTTCCTCGTTAGCGTCTGCCTTGTTGCGGCCTGGCGCTGATGTGCCCTTCTGTTCTTTTTGCAGAACATCCAGAAGATGCTCGGCCTTGCTCCTTCCCGGGCTGCTACCAAGCAAGCAGGGGGCTTCCTTGGCCCCCCACCTCAGGCGGGGAAGTTCTCCTAAAGCACAATTATGGCCTTTGCTGCAGGTCTGCCAGCCGCACAAGACTGCCTTTGGGAGGTAAAACAATGGGTTTCTACACCAGGCTTCCTGTGGCCGAAACCAGCCTATGCAGTATTTACCAGTCTTGGAAACATCTTGCGTTCGAAGTATTCCAACAGCAGTTGCCTGCTCATCAAATCAAGAAAGTTCTCAGAAGATAACTTGACCTTTTGTTTCTGAAAAATAAATGGCTCGGGCATGTTGATTTAGATGTCTGTTAATTGTGATGTAGGACAAGCAGAACTACTTTGTAGCACAGTTGATTTAGTTTAGGGCGTGGAAATAAACTCAGATATCAAGAATGAGATTTGCAGAATAGCTCAGAAAACTTGCAACAGTTGTGCTGTGAGGTGTCCCTTGTTTTAGATGTGCTGGTTATGCTCCTCTGTAGCAGGGAGCTGGGCGAGTAGGTGTGCTTGGTTCTCCTTTTGCCAAATTTCCAGTGTTGAGGGTGAGATTTTTCTTTAATTGGCTCAGGCTGCTCTTCAAGGCTGCGAGTATTGCTGGATGTACTGCCTGCCTGTGTCTTCCTGGCAACACTTGGTGCTACAGAGGTTAGAGGCAATATATGACTTCTGTTAAAGTTGCTTGCTTAGGCAGAATCTGCTGAATTGCAGAGATAGACCTGGCCTTCAACTTAACAAGTAAACTGCTGAATTATATTGATGCTGTCCACTGAACTTTTTTATTGCCTGAGGGCTTAGAGCAGCAGAATCTGTATTCACGCCACTGAGCTTGCTGCTCATCAGTCTATTTTGCAGTATGAATCTGAAAGCCCCCAGCCTCCTTCTTAGCCCACTGAGTTCCCAGTGCTTTCTACTTTGCCACATCATTACCTGGCTCAGTTCTGTTGGTCAGGCTGTCTTTACAAGGATGAATAAATTTTGCTACTGTGCTCAAGTCAGGCTGAAAGTGTTTCTGAAGTGTACAGTAGCCATAGGCATTGTGGCCTTGGTGCTTTTGTGACCAGAAACTTCTAATGAAGGACATGTTACTTGGAGTTTGTGGTGAGAGGTACACCCAGAATGCCTTATAGTGGTGTATATGCATATGCTGTACCCTATTAAGAACTTGGATCGATTCTCACTGATAGAAACAAGAATGGAGCAGGAGAATGCCTAAGTCTGCCTTTCTGACACACTGCTGCATCCACAGTGGGTACTGCCTTGCCAAAAGGGCAGCTGTGGGTGTGGGGTTCCTGGCTTGTGTGACAGCAGAGCCAGAATCAGTGGTGTTGTACTGGTTCCTGCTGTAGCACCTGGCTGTCAGATGCGGCAGGAGTGGGGGGAGCTGTGACAGCCCTGCGTGAACGAGTGAGGCACCATAATGAGTGGAGAGCTGTGCTGTGCAGGGGCTTCCCGGTGGTGACCCAGAACCCTGTCTCAGCACATCCCCTGCTTTTGCAGTGTGCTTCTCTCAAAGTTACCAACAAACCAGGGCTTGTTGCTGTGCTGGAAGCAGGTTGCTTCCTGCTGTCAGCAGCTTGATGCAGCAGTGCAGTGGGAATCGCTAATCCCAGCAACCAGAGAGGAGCAGCTTTTACTACTGAATTGCAAAAAATCCACCAAATAGAAAGGGGAAAAAAAATTAAAAAGCAAACCACCTGCGCTGCCGGAGCCGTGCCGCTACCGCTGGGCGGCGCTGCTGCGCGGATCAGCTCTGGTGTCTCCTCCGAGCCGCTAGGGGGCGCTCAACCGCCGGAGACGTGGCGGGTTCAGTGCGCAGGCGCGAGGCGGAGCCACTTGCCCTCGTGGAGCCCCCTGTCGGCGTGGCGGTGCGCGCTGCCGTCCCATGGTGCTGGCGTTCCTCCTGCCCCGGCTCTGCCGCCTGCAGCCCCGCATCGCCATGAGCACCGCCACCGGCACCTTCTCTCTGCAGCAGCCCCTCAACTACCGGGCCGGCGGCCGCGTGGAACCCGTTGACGGCCGGCAGACTGAGGATGTGTACGAGCCGGCCACGGGTACGTGCTGCCCGAACTTCTTCGGGGTTAACTCGTTCATTTGCCTCGAGGGGGGTAGGATGGGTCGGCCCAAGACAGGCGGCGTAGCTGTGTGTGACGACGGGTCCTGGTGCTGGTGGTGGGAGGGTAACGAGCTCAAGAAGAAACCTGCAGAGATTGGAGCTGATGAGCGGCCGGAATGTGGTTGTGAAGGAGGGCAGGCTTTGGGTTTCACCCCCGAGCTGCAGAGCTTCTCCACGACCGAGTGGGTTTGGGTGGGAGCTGTGAAGCTCTATGGTGGGACTGAGATCTCGAGCTTTTGCTGCAAGGTAAGCCTTGTTTTGCTGGGATTTACTTCTTGTTTTGTGTTTACAACGTGCCTAGGTCGAGTGATAACCAAGCTGCTGTGCTCCGGGGAGAAGGAGGTGGACCTGGCCGTGCAGAGCGCCAAGAGTGCCTTCCAGACATGGAGCCGCATGTCGGGCATGGAGCGCTGCCGTGTGCTGCTGGAGGCTGCCAGGCTCATCCGGGTACTGCACGGGGCTTTGTGTGCACCCAGCTGGCTCTGACCCTCTGTCCCCCTCCAGGAGGTCCAATGGAATGCAGGAGCTGAAAGCTACCTTTGTCCAGCAGATAGTGGGATGCTTTGGGCAGGGCGCTTGGTCTTATCGTGCCGCTGTGTCCTATAGCTTCTTCCCTGCTTTGCTCTGTGAGAAGACATAAAGCTGAAGCCATGCAGTGCAGATATTGCAAGGCATGCATTTTCCAAGCTGAAGTTGCGTAACTGACACATTCTTGAACTTTCAGCTTGACAGACCCTGCTGTCATGACTGGAGTGTCTTTCTTTAGCAATAAAAAACCACCAGATAAACACATGAGAACCAGAGGGTACAGATATGCTGGCTTCATAACAAACTCATTTGTGAGATAGCACGTTCTTAGATGTCAAAATTAGTCCCCATCAAGACATTGGTAAGAAACCAAACCTCTCCCCACTGTGTATGCAATGAGAACTGTTTTCTCTTTCAGTCAAACTTCTGCTTCTGCCAGACTTCCACAGCAGGGAATGTTTCTGCCTGGGATACAGTCTGCTAAAGGACGCTTCCCAGCTGCTTTGTTTTGCTGTCCTTCACTGAGTCCTCTGGATCTATTTAGATCTTGCTGTTTGCTCTTTCCTCCTCCTTATTTCTGTGCATTCCAATCACTGTTTACCATCTGTCTTCTCTGTTCAGGTTTGCTAATCTTTTAGATAAGCAGAGCTGTTAAGCAAGACTGCAGGAGCAGTGAACCCAGCAGCTGTCTGGCATTCACCTGTGATCAGTCGCCATTGGAAAATTGATTAATGGTAGTTGGGAATGTACATTTTAGGGATGGTGATAGCTTGAGGCAGAGCCTCAGAGTTGTGCAGAGTTTTGGGAAGCTCCTTGTGGAGTGCTACTATGGGCTTCTTTGATGTGTAATCACTGTGGTGTTATCCTCCCAGGAAAGGAGAGATGAAATTGCCACCTTGGAAACCATCAACAATGGGAAATCCATCTTTGAAGCCAGAGTGGATATTGACATATCCTGGCAGTGCCTGGAGTATTACGCAGGGCTGGCAGGATCTCTGGCCGGTGAGAACTTTATTGGAGTTTGCTCTTTACTTTTTGTTCTGGTGTTCCTCGGTTAACTTCTGCTGTACAAGAGCACCTTTGGTGTTGGTTTCTCTAAGAGATGCTTTTTCTGAAGATGCTGGAGTATTTTCAGAGATCTCTACTTAATGCTACTGTGCTTTGTGGGCC